GGAACTCACGTTCCACGGCCAGCCGATGCCCGGTGGGCACTTCAGGGTTACCTTGTCGAGTGTGAAATCGGGGCATGAGGATTTGCCTCCTCCAGTACGGCTAGGGAGGGAGGACGACGAGACCCCGCCGCGGATTGGAAGCTGCAAGGGTTGGGTGCTGCTATGGCCGAAGAATCTTCTTCGTCTGGAGCAGGCCGAGAGCACACCAATAACCACACATCAACAAGCAGGTATGGACACCACCACCCCGCCTATGCAATTATCAGCGCTTGTAGTGCCGGGTGAGAGCGACAGACGACGTGATGAAGGGGGTCCAATAGTGGCTGATGTAATTGCCCCTGTAGAACAAAGAATGGATGACGAGATGGAGGAGGACCCTCTTCGGTTCCTCAATACAGGCGCCTATGACGATGACTTAGATATGATGAGTCAGCCATATGATGACTCGGACTATCAGCATGCTGATGAGGATATGGACGATCTGCTCGGGCAGGAACGTCCTAGCAGGGATTAAAAGAAGTCTCTCTTCATGCAATCCTCATAGGACACGCCTCAAGATGCCGCCTCAACACATGCTCAACTAGCCGGGGTCGTACAATGCTTAGCCCGACAACACTAGGGCCGGAGGTCGTACAGTGCTTTAGTCAGACTTTCTTCCAACAGTTTGGGAAAGGTTCTCTACCATCGAACCATATTTTTCCATTTGCTTTCTTTTGGTTTTCTTTTCTTCTTCTTTTATTTACTTAAATTAGTGAACATTGTTTGAAATATGTGAAAGTTTTTCAAAATTTTCAATTTTTTTGAATATTTAATGAATTTTGGAATATTTTCGTAATATGGCAGCAATTTTCAAACTCATGAACATTTTGTGAATCTTGGAACAATTTTGAAATTTGTGAATATTTTTTAAATACGTGTTTTCTTTAAATTAATGATTGTTTTTGGAAATCCAGGAACATTTTGAACATTTTTAAATGCGATAGTTTTATAAAATCATGAACATTTTTTGAAATTTAGGAACCAGTTTTATATTCATAATTATTTTTTTAATTCAGAAACAATTTTCAAATTTGATAACATTTTTTGAATTTAGATTTTTTGCAAATTCATGATTTAAATAAAATTCAAAATAATTTTTGAGATCCCAAATGTTTTTTTAAAGGAGAAGAACAAAGGCGTCCAGCCCGCCAATGGGCCAACCCAAAGCACATGGGGGAGAGGGGGGGGTACGCATTTGCTTGCTTTCTCGAAGATCACCAGTTAAGGATTACCCTTTGCAAATGTAACTTTCCACCTTCTCTGGTGTTGACAAGTGGCACATTGCATGTATTCCCACTTGTCGCAATATTAAAGTTTTCCTTTTTTTGTAAATTCATTTTAAAACATTTTTATCTTTTAAACTGTGCATCCAAAATACAAACCATTTACATTGCACTGTTGGATTTGTCGCGTCGTGATCTTTGAAACTAGTCCTTATGTTAATAGGTTTTGACGAACTTTTTCCACAAAAAAACCAAAAAAAAAAAGTCAGAAACTTGTAAAATAATATTTAAAAACCTAAAAAAAGAAAATCAACAAGAAACCAAACCAAAAACATGAGAAAAACCAAAACCCCAAAAAACGAAACCCAGAAGCACAATTGTAATTTTCACCTTTTTAGGAAGGACAATTATGCTTTTCTCTTTTCTAGAAGCATAGACTATGCTTTCTTTTTATTTTCAGGAAGCATGGAAGACAGGCTGTGCTTTCCTTTTCGAAGAAGCATCACTGTGTTTTTTTCCTTCAGTGAAAGCATAATTGTATTTAGAGAAGCACAAACTGTGCTATGCTTCTCGTGAAAGCAAATATGTGTTTCTTGTAAAAGGACAAACTATGCTTCTTGAGGAAGTACAACTATGCTTTTCCCTTCGTGAAAGCACATGTGTAGACTAAGCGTTTCCCCTTTCGGGAAGCACAGTTGTGCTTCTCGCTCGCAGAGAAAGTGTGGCTTCCCCCAAGTTAATAAAACAATTTTTCTACCTAAACCTAGGGAAACCAATCAAAAAGCGAAAAGCCGGTAAAATAACAAAATAAAACCCGAAAACGGTCGAGGGGAGGGCAGGGCGGCGAGGCGGTCGCGGGAGCGCTGCCAGCCGCAGGTAGCGAAGTCAAGCTGTTCATTTGGCGGTTGTGGCCTTGTGGATGGTTCAGATCAAGGTAGTGGGGACGAAGACGATGAACCGTTTTTTTCTAGGAGGTAGATGAAAGAGATCTCCCCTTTTTCCATTGGAACAAATCGACGGACCCCAAAAACAAATTGAGTTGGTTGGCCCCTAGCCACGTGTGCCGAGACCAAGGTACGTACGGCGGACGGGGCTTGCCTGCTCCCGTCCCGTGCTCCCATCCCTTTTTTAGACTTATCTTCATATGAGCTTGACAACCACATCGTGTTTCAGGCCTACTGTAACTGAAAGAATCCTCTCTGCTATCTTCAACTCGGAATCCTGTCAAATAAAGTAATTATCTTAGTGAATCCAAAAGTAATACGTAGTTCTCCCTCCGTTCATAAATATAAGATGTTTTAGCTTTTGGCCACATTCCACACGTATCAAATGTATCTAGACATGTTCTAGTGTGTACATTCATTCGTTTTAGTATGAATCTAGACAACATGTGGAACACCTAAAACATCTTATCTTAAAAAACGGAGGGAGTATAACCAAAACAAAATACAAGCAACCCATACCTTGACGGGAGCATGTAAATATCCGTTGTTGTATTACAGTAGTATTCTTCACTTTATGGTGACTCCCTCTTTGGATGGTAAAACCAATACCTTTTGCATACTTGTTATAAAAGGAGTATGCCTCCTCTTCAGATAAAAATGTCATGTCAATCTTTGGTGAACTGTTGTCAATACAATTGGTTGCAATATTTTCTTGTGCATCCTGTATGAATTAGTATTCAATTTTGTTAATGCACAATTTCACATGTGTTGTATTGTGCTTACCATGCGTGATTTTACTTGATTTATGAAACAAGGGTTAAAAAAATATTACCCACGTCATAAGAGTATTATCGAACAATGTAGACTAATATGCACAAGCTGCTGTTCTATTACAACATGCTGAGAGTGAGTGGAGTATTAATAACTGAGTATAATAATGAAATGGACACTATGGATTGTGGCTTTCCTTTCTTCAGCCATGACTTGCAACTAAAAGATGATCCTTGCAGCTCTGAGCAGCTTACAAACACTAATAAGCGCCTCCAAGACAAGCTATAATTTGTTCTAGTACAAAGGATTGCTTTTTAAGCATCTAGAATTACTGAATGAAATACTTATCGCGAATTGCCTCATGTATTAAGTATCTATTTTGATATGTCCAGTTATTACTTCATGTACCAGGCATTTTAAAAAATCATCAGGAGAATTAAATGTTCTACAATCATGAAGGCATTCTCGATCTTTTTCAGCAGGGAAAATTAACCAATAAATTCTACAAGGAAAAGAAGAACGAAAAGAGATCATGAAGACTATACTTTTGGCCCATGAGATTCATCACCGTCCTCATGGATCCGAGGATCGATGCTTGAAGAAGCCATGGGGCACAAGATGACCCTTTCCTTCTGCCGCTAGATTGCGCTGCTTCTGCCTGGTTGATGCACTTTGGCCTCCAGATTGCAAATTTTCTTCTTCTGCCGGAGATTGAACTTGCTTGATGTGCTTCTGCCAAGGATCTTGTTCCTGATTGATGTGGGTGATCTAATATGGTGGTGAGATTTGCATGTTTCCTATATGGATAAGCAGGAATTTGTGTGTTTCCGTCTGGATTAACACAAGTCAAAGAGGTTTGGCGCCCTAACCTCTTTGTTCTGCATGTTGGCGGCAAAAAATGAGATTAGCCTCCTTTTTCCCTCCAGAATAGTGGAGCGTGAGTATTGCCAGATTAGTAGAGTATTACGGAGAGAGAACAGAAAGAGAATACGACTTTTTAATGTTTTTTCTTTCGCTGGAAAAGAGACGTGGGGGTGCTAAACAACACAGCCGTCGGATGTAAAATAACTCCCAGGGAGCACGTCCACGTACGACGGGGTTTTGTTCGTTCAACTGGAGATCAATTCCAACGTAGCCCTCGCGCCCTGGGGCCGCCGGCGGCGCTGTGATCTGCGTTCCGGCTCCCGAGCTCCACTTCTAGTACTCTACCCTCCTGCCCTCTTCTTATCTCTTTCTGTTGTCCCTTCTCTTGGCGAGCCACGGCAGTCGGCAGGGCGATACGTACTGCTCTACGGGTGCGTGCCCCGCCACCGCCAGTGCGCCACCCCTGGCCTTCTAAGACTCCACGCCCTCCTTATCCTCTCCTCCCTGTAGTGCGACCGCCAGGCACCTTAAGCTCTGCTAGATCGGAAAGATAGTTTTGTGCCGGCAGAGAGGAACTTCGAAATCCCACTTTTGTTTCGGTGAGGACGGTGTGAGGGTGTTTGTTGACAAAAGGAAATCTTGTACTCCATTGTGACGAGTACATTTGAACAGCTGCTTGATTGCTTAATTATATGGTGGTTTTGTGTGTCCAGCTCCAGCCTAGTCTAGGTAGGTAATAGAGGGAAAGTTACTATTCCATATGGTCCATTGGAGGTAATAGATGTACAGGGAGTGATGCAACCTGCAAAATTATAGTTATTTTTTTTCTCGTTCTTGTCAGGTTTGATTTTGAGGTAATTTACTTTTGCTCCAAGATACGACCCATGTATGGTTTTCATGGAGCATGTTTCCAATTTCAATAGTCACGAAGCAGGAATAGGCTAGTTGATACATATACTTGGATAGATCAAGTGCGACGGTTGGCAGCTATTTCAGGTTTGCCCTCCATGCTGTAGTGTTGAGCTAAGAAATTAACTTATGAAGCTGGTACTAGTGTCTCTTTGATTACTTGTTCTGTGAGAGTTTTACAATGTTGCTTTTTGGACCTGCCTTTTTGCCCCTTTTTTAAAGAAAAATTTCTGCTTCAGTCCTAGGGAAGATGCGGAAAAATAAGAGAGGTGGTGAGGATCTCACAAGAAGCTCACATGGGAACAGAAGAGCTAAGCGGGCAACGATGATCTCAAAAGAATCTCACGAAGGAATAGAAGAGACAATCCAGATCTCAGGTCTGCTGGTTCATCTTCTTTTCAGCATGCGTTTTTCACTCCTTTGTTTGAGCACTCACTCTTTTTTTGAGAATAGACCACTCACATTTCTGCTGTATGATTCTTCTTTAACTAGGCAACTTACATGGGGACTCGAATCAAGATGTCTTGGCTGAGCTCAGTGATGAAGTTAAATCAAATATGTCGAAAAGTGTTGCCTCACTTGCTGTGTGCAGTGGTGATTACACACTTCTTTATTTCCAAGAAATCTGTAGAAATGTTTTCCCAACAAACATCACCACTTACAAAGGATTTATATTACATTCTGTAGGGGACACACTGTTATTCGCATGCTCAGGCATAGCTATAGAGCGTGAATTATATGTTACAAAGTTTGTGACTTCACCAAAATTGGCCCTAGTTTTCAACAGTGCTAGAATCGAAAAGAAGCATGACAACGTAAAGGTTTGTGCTGCCAATCATCCCTTAATAACATGTTTGCTTAAGATGATTGTGATCATTGTGTGCTTGTCCTATCATTGTAGATTGAGGTGCGCCATGTAGGCAGTGAGGTTTACCAGGGTTTCTTAGACAGCGATGATGTAGATGAACACTTTTCTGTTGTCAAGGTCAAGACCTTCCTTGATGTTAATGTTGGACTTATTGAGCATGCTGAGGGGATTCTGCCTTATGGTAAGGTGGTAGTTCTAGGGCGTGGCACCTCCGGTGAATTAATGGCAAAAAGTGTGATACTGGCTGGCGACGTAAGTTGGCCTAAATATAATGAAGATCCTGTGTTGTCTGTGGCTAAAATAACGAAGGTACACTTGCACTATGATATGCGCATTTTAATCTGTTTCTGTTGTTCTATGCGCTAAACTGTACCTTGGAGGCAATAAAAAATGATTCTTTTCCTATTTAATTCTTGTTCAATTTCACTTCATTTTGTTCAAATGTAACCCTTGTTGTCTGTCACCTGTTATTTGTGTTAGGATTGGGAAGGTGGGCCACTTTTTTCTTTGGATGGGAACTTTATCGGCATGAACCTTTTTCTGGTTATGGAAAGAGCTTTTTTTCTACCATGGGGTGTAATGGTCTATCTGGTGTATAACTTTAAGACTCCCCTAGAGAACAGGTAAAGGTTTTCCACCGTCAGAAAGATATTTCTGTCCATGGGCATGTAGCACAGTTGCCCTGCAATACAAGACTAGTCACATTTCTTGTTCATCTGTTGAATTGAAAGGAAATGTGCTCGCTAGAAGGAATTATGACGTTTCCCTATTCTGATTATTCTTTGGCATTTGCTCAAAGCTCTATGTTTTTGTGAAATATGTATATGCACACAACGTGGTGTCCTCTTTAGTTTATCCTGTTGCATGCATACGACTCTACCATTTAGTTCTTTGGCAGCATGTTGCATATTAATGCACATGTTTGATCCATTTTGCTGCTGGATTAGCAGTCACATTGATTTTCTTGGGCAGGCATGGAGAAGGACCCACACATGAGATGTTCAATCGCTATCAAGACGGTAAGCACACAGCCACTCTTTGAGACAGCTAAACTTGTGGTATTATGCAAATTGTTGTATTCCCTCTGTCCTGAATTAGTTGACTCAGATTTGTCTAGATATGGATATATGTAGACCTGTGTTTTGATTTTCGGCCGAAAAAAATGGATTTATTTCGGCCATCTCGGCCTGGGGCGAAAAGTATATTTAGGCCGAAATTGCTCAAATTTGGTAAATTTTGGTCAAATTTAAGTCAAATCGCAGTTAAAATTTGATCAAATTTCAGCCGAAATTTTTGAAAATGGCCGAAATTCGGCCATCTCGGCCTAGGGCGAAAAAAAGCTCAAACCGAAAATCAAAACACAGATGTAGACACGTTTTAGTGTTAGATACATCCGTATATAGGTAAATCCAAGTCAACTAATTTGGAAAGGAGGGAGCTATTGCTTACTTCGTTGTCTCGCACTCTCATGTCAAGGAAGCCGCCACCTGCTCAGGCTCGAACCCTTGTGCTCGCAAGATGTCGGTGCCTCCCTGGAGTGACTTCAGCGAGTTTCAGGGTCTGGCACTCCCCTGTTTTAAGATGAAGCTTGGGGGATGTCATATCTTGTAGTAGTTCTTTTTTTAAGCATCAATTTGTACGGTCTTCATAAGTAGTGCAAGTTCGACTATTGCATTTCTACTCAATAACCATCACAACTAGTTTGGCCTTTTTTACATGTACTTCCATGGCGTTAGTGCTAATCAGTCAACCTTTTCAGACACTGTTCTTGGGTATGCTATACCGTTCTAACTTGTAACCTGAAATGTTGCTCAGTTTGTCATCATAAGCTAATTAGTTAATTTTATGTGCTGATCACTATGCATAGAATTTTATGTGCATTTACTTGTATTTTGTACTGGTATATCTCAGTGTTATAATCACCTGACCTTGTCCTTATTGCGCCAGTTTATAAAACTGGTATCGAGCATAGTCTGTTTGGGGATGTAGACAAGATGGGTACCCCAAGCTACCAGTAACTATGCTGGATGGTGAGTCAGTGTTTCTAGATTTGCCGACTTTTTGTGCATCACGCCTCTTTACAGTTCTGCTGTGCCACTAACAACTATGCCACCTTGTATATAACACCAGATGGCTTGGTTTTGGTTAATACTTTTGAAGACACCTTTGGCGACGTATGGGGTGAAGGTGTCTGGAGGGAACTTGGGAAAAATGCTTCTGACATAAGTCGCATTGTTGTCGCACTTGCTTCCTTCAATGGTAATTTTACACCAATGTGGCATTTACCGGTATATATTTGTATCTGTTTACTGCCTGTTAATAATCAAAATCATGGCAACGGCAGGTGAAAAAATGTTTTCTGCATGCACGGGTTTTTTTATTCGATGGAATGGCTCAACAACCATTCTGACATCTGCAAGCCTGGTTAGAGATCATTGTGATGAAAGCAAGATTGTTGAAAACTTGACGGTTTGCGCTCCTCGCTCTATGATTGATTTCTGTTCTTTAGAGATCGTAGAAAACTTCTGAAGTCTCACTGTATAATTTGCAGATTAAAGTATTGCTTCCAAACAAACTTGTCCGAAAAGGGAACATAGAGCATTACAGTCTACATTACAATGTCGCTCTAGTCAGTGTCGAGGATTGCCGTGTTATCCGACCAGCAAAGATTCAGCTTGATTGTATTGGTATTTCCCGTGTAGCAGCTGCAGGGCGTTGCTTCAGATCAGGCACGATAATGGCCACAAGTGGGCGTCTGGTTTCCTGGTCAGGCAGGCTTGATTGCAAGTTCATTTTACGCTCCACATGTAAAATCAGTAAGGTCGGGACGGCTGTTGCTGTTTGTTGCCTACTTTTTACATGGTGGAAGCTAATCGTCGCATCAAGATTACTAGTTGATTACCATGATGTCTGTTTGGATTAAAACTGAGAATATGTTTATGCCACCTTACCAGGCCGGGATTGGAGGACCCCTTTTTAATATGCGTGGAGAAATTATCGGCATGAACTTCTATTCAGAGAAAATAGGCACCCCATTCCTGCTATGGAATGAGATTGGCAACATCCTGGCATATTTTAAGGAAAAGAGGTATTTCAAAATTTCCTTTTTGGGGTATTCGAGTGTTTATCCGATATGTTGTTGAGATGAACATTTGATTGAGAAGCCTGCTGAAGCGAGTTCAGCCAGGCATAATGTTGAGTGATATAAATAAATGTATTTGTTGGTGTGTTTGACGACAGTGATGCTGGTGAGGTTGCCAAGGACAGTGGTTCCTCTTTCTGGAAAATGGATGGGGATGACAGAGTTCGGTTAAACAGGTAAGGCATCCTGAGACGCACACTCCTATCAAATTAGTTACAGTGAATAGTTTGGGATATAAAGTAGTAGTCCCTCCGTACCTAGTTATAAAATGTTTCAACTTTTTTCAGAATTGGATGTATATAGACGCGTTTTAGTGTGTATTGTTCACTCATTTCAGCCAGTACGTAGTCCATCTTAAAAAATATCCAAACTGTCTTGTACTACTTCTGTGCACTAATATAGAGGTTTTTACAGTATATAAGACGTTTTGTAGTTCAATTTGAACTGCAAAAACGTCTTACATTAGTGTAGGGAGGGAGTAATTTGGAAGGGGGGGGTGATATTTACATTGAACTGCTGCAGGTGGCCTGTGCCGATGCCATGTTGGCGTGATCTTGACGATCCATCTTGGAGCTATCCTGATGATTGGATTACGGATGCACCCAGGGATGAGCCGAACATTGAAATCCCACCTGGCGAGGAGTTCAGATACGGATACATAGGGGGAACGAGATATAGAAACCTTGTAGAGGAGTGCTGGGTTCCCATGACCAAGAAGTGGTGACATCTCTCACTGTATATCAATCTCCGTGTTCGATGCAGCTGCTTGGGTTGGCTAACACTCAAGAACGAAGTGACCTTTTTATGCGCCTGCGCTGTTTAGAAGCTACTCCCTCCGTCCCAAAAAAGTGTTGTACTAAAGCTGAGACACTTATTTTGGGACAGAGTAAGTACTAGGGCTGTAGGACAATCTCTTGTCTTAGTCGTTGTAATGTTACTCTGTTCTTAGTGAGCTCTTGAGTGTGTACCTAGCTAACTGTTTGTGCGTTGCCTAGGGCAACAAAACGTGACTTGATACATTCGTATTTAGACAAATCTAAGACAAGAATTTTGGTATGGAGGGAGTATAAAAGAAAAATCTTCCAGGATGATGACACCGTGGTTCAACACAAATACGTCCTGCCATGTTTGGCCCTGTGCTCTAACGCTGCCTCTGCACACCTCGGCCAGCCCAAGGCAGCCCGCGTCGTCGAGCTCCGGTGTGTATTTTCCTTGTGTTAGAACTAAGAACAAATATGGTTAATAATTTCACATAAAGAGCAATATTATTTGCCAAAATCATACAAAATTGCGCTTCATATTAGTCAACAAACATGAACATTCTACACCTACGCTGGAACAAATATTATGAACAATAAGAATAATTTTCAGAAACAGATGATACTATTTTTTAGTTTGTGCGACAAATGGGATATACAACAGCAAGCAACGGTCGTTGTGCAGCGGAATCCTACTTGGCGCATACAGGCAACACTACAAACCGGCGCTCACATCGACATGAATGGGCCGGCCGATGTAAGCTGTCGGTATACGTGAATGGGACTGTTGTCTCCGGTTTTGGGTAACTTTTCGCCAGTTTTTTTTCAGAACCATGCGGTTTACACTACTACGTGGTTTTCACGAACATTTTTTGTTCAGTTTTTCATTTTTCATGAACTTTTTTAGTTATTTTTTGAAAAGATTTTGAATGTTACAAATTATTTTAAAATTGTGAGATTTTTTTAAACCATGAATTTTTTTTTGAATTCATAAAGTTTTTTTTAAAATTTCAAGGTTCGTGAACTTTTTTGAAGTTTTTTTAAAACTTGGAAGATAAATCAATATTTTGAACTTTTTCTCAATCATGTGAAGCTTTAAAAAAAAAGTAAACCGGTCAACCAAGTTGACTGGTCCACGGTCGACCGGATCAACAATGTTAACTGAGTGAACAAAAAACCAAAAGAGCGCTGGCCCATGAGCAAGGAGTGTCCGAGGGCCAATGTGCTAACCGGCGCCGAGCACGCCGAATAGGAGCCTCCCGCAAGGGTCATTTTTGTGGGCTAATAGCTAGCCAAGTGGTGCATCCAGTCGTCGCTACATGTCATGTTGGGCGCTCCCTCTAGATTTGTTTTCTATAGGCGTTTTCGGGTTTTAGATAGATTTTTTGGTTTACACCTTGCTTTTCCTAGGTTTTGGAAGGGGAAAATTGGCGAATGAAAGTCCGGGAAAAAAATAAGTTGTGGGAAAAAAATTGTGCTTCTACGAGAAGCACATATTTGCTTTTTGTGGAGGCACATAATTGCTTTAGAGAGAAGCATAGCTTGCTTCTGGGAAAAGAGAGAAAAATCATGAATTTTATTTTTTGTGTGAATCTTTTTTTGCTTCCAAGAGAAAAGTGGCACATATTTTTCTTCTGCGAGGAGCACGGTTCTTCTTCTCGGAAAAGGGAAAAACTCATGATTTTTTTTCATGAATATTTTTTTGCTTCACGAGAAGCACAAATTTGCTTCTCGTGGAGTCACAAATTTGCTTCTGTGAAAAGTTGTGCTTCTTGAAAAGAGAAAAAAATATGATTTTTGATGGCGCAATTTTTATCGCCGCGAGAAGCACAGTTGTGTTTCCCGGGAAGGAAAAAAATGAATTTTATTTTGTGTGATTTTTTTGTGCTTCCACGAGAAGCACATATTTGGATGTCCTGAAGGCACAAATATGCGCTTCTCGAAAAGCAAAAAAAACATGCTTCCGGTTTTGGGATTTTTTTTAAGTTTGTTAAAACCTGTCAACATGTGATCAAATTTCAAAGATCTCGACGTGAGAAATCCAACGATGAAACCTTTTCGGGATTTGGACGCACTGTTTGAGAGATAAAACATTTAGAAAAGTAAATCTACAAAAAAAAAGGAGAAAACTCTCAAGTTGCGACAAGTGCTCACATGTAGTTCGCCACTCGTCAGAGTTTGAGAAGGTGGGAGTGACCTTTGCAAGGTGTTCCCCCTTAACTAGTGATTTCGGCTTTAGTGTAGATTTCAGTATTGAACTCATAACATCTGCTGGGCCAAATCCACGTTCAAAAGGCCATTCTATTGAGATGAATACTTTGGTTGGGCCAATAAGTGAATGAGATTGGGCGTTTACAGGGCCACGAAGTGGAATGATACTTATCATTTATGGGCTGTTGTTTTTCTTTACGAAAATTGGCTATTACTTTCCATTCTCAGATAGTATACGGCTTTTACTTCTGAAAATTCCACATTCTCTACGACCGTGCGTCCTCATATCTCTATCCTACATTTCCCTGCCAGTAGGCTCTTCGTTTCTACTAGGCTCTTTGAGGCTGGAGGCTGGAGGCTGGAGGCTGGAGGCTCTTCGTTTCTACTAGGCTCGTCAGCACCCTGTTCGTCTGTTCCACCATTTTACCAACGGAAACCAATCTCCTCTGGTCGCCATTCTATCATGGCCAAGCAATAAAACGCCACACAACCTGTCGCCCGAGATGAGATGAGAGTGTGGCATACATGACGTGGTAGAATGAGAATAGCTATGGTGGCACATAGTAGGAGCGAGAGACAGAGTTGTACTTGGCACATAGAATGTTGTAATTCCTGCTTTCTATCTGTAATTTCTGACTCCTTCCATTCCTATGGCTATCAATTGAAATCCATGTTGTGTAGAGACTTGGCAAATAATAAAATGAGCAAGCCATCCATCTTCTGGGCAGGGAGGTCTCGCTTCTTATAAAACATTTGGGTGGTTGACAACGACAAGAGGTCATTGATCCATTGGTATTTGGTAGGTCAATAGCTAAAATATCCTTAGTTATGAGTTTGGTCCTAGTTAGGTTCTAGGCTATATGGGTGTTAAACGAACAATAAATTTGTGAATCTTTTCATTTTTAAATGAAGGATTTTATTGATCCTTTGATCTTTACATCAAGATGCTGCAACTACCCAACACATAGTTTAGAATTACAAAGTTCACGAAAAACAAAGCCCAGCGACTAATCTCTTATATTTTCGTAGAGATAAAAACGAGCTAAGTAGACCAACGACTTCAAGACGGTCAGTACAAGTGAGTTGTGTCTTGTGAAAGACTGGAGACGCATGAGGCCATGTGATCATTGATGAACTGCACCAGTACAAGTACGGGTGCTGAGTGTGATGTTAAATCTTCCGGTCCTCGATGCAAACACGTCAACTATTTCAAGTATAGTGGGTAGCTCTACGAGCTAGAACGCACAAGCTCGTGGAAATTTCACATGCGCAAATTAGCTAACGCATATTATTCCTCCACAAATATAAAGCGTGTGTGTTTTCGAAAAATTATTTTGAACAGGACCTGTATAACAGTATGGGAATTATGTTAAATTAATATGCTGAAATTGTATCAAAAATACTTTTTAAATAATATTGTATCTGATAATCAGCACACTGAACTAATCGTTGGCCAAGTTCAATTTTCTAAAGTATGTGGCCTTTGTATTTATTGCATTGAAGAGACTACTTGCATAATAATAACACTAGAGTTCCGCAAAAATAATAATAATAATAATAATAATAATAACACTAGAGATTTATAAAGCTGTAGTCGCGCATTTCATGCCCGATAACGAGTAGTGTGCGTCCCTTTGCTTGTTGTCCATGAACTTGAGGATTTTATATTTCAAACTGATGAAATCAACACACCATATGGGATATATTTGTATCGTTGGGTTTTAATACAAAATTTGAAGGATTGTAGTTTCCAAGATTTTTCTATAAGTGCCCTTTAGTCATAGCACTCGAGCTGCTAAATTTCTTTGACATGTATTATTATGCCTACAACTTCGTAGAAATCTTAACTGTAAGCTCAAATTGAGAACTAACGTATGTCGGATGAACAAAAGTGTGCTTATACCACATTCCACCACGGATCATACTTCATAGGAATCCCTATTTTTCTGTTTTTTTTTTGTCCAAAGAGGCAGTTTACCAACACATGTTTTCTTAAGTTTAGTTTGTGCTGAGACAATCACTAGCCTTTATATATACCAATTCCCGGAATATTACTAACCGTGTTTTCCAAACCAAAATTCCAAACAACCGAAAGAACAATCTCTAGAATATCACCACCAGCATGTGGTTGCCATCGATAAGGTCAGGTTGACTCTGATTAAGGAACAGAGATAGCGGTGCCTCGATTGCTCGTTCTAGCGGCAGTAGTGCTTGTTCGGTGATGGGATTAATCTAAAGAATAGGGTTAAAAATGAGAAGTAAACATCGTAGTGCTGTTTTACAGGTGTAAAAAAACACCATGCTCATGCAGCCCCTAGCGCGTACACCACGCCACAGCAGAGAGAGGTACGTAGCATGCATCCCTACCCTGCCCTGCCCACGGGGGAGGATCCGTTTCCAAGCAGAAACAGATACTACTGCTCGGCAATGGTTGCGCCGTACGTGTGCTAACCTATCGGGCGTGACCCATGTCAATCATGCATGGTGCAGGTCGCCACATGGACACTTGGTCTGCACTTGGCTCGTTGGCATGGCGATCCGGCGGAGGGGGGAGACGGGCCGGGATTATTGATTGGGTGCCGGCCGGCTTCGTTGCGTGGGTCCCGGGTATCGTTATCCCGGAAACATGGGCGACAGGAGTACAGTGGAGACGTCAATGCGTGGTGAGGTTGACATGACCCGTCAATGGAACAAGCATAAAAGCATCCTTCTCTTCTCTGCCTGCTGGCCGGCCGTGTACTTCTCACGGTGCTGT